AGGTGTGGTGGGCCGGGTACCGAGTCCCGGAAGAGTTCTATATGGAAGTCGGTAAGGGGCTCATTGAGTTAGGGTCATAAGTCCGACTCCTGAAGACTTGGCCATCGCCACATAACTTTTTGTTTTATTTTCTTTCTTTTCTATCGCAGGACAATTGCAAGAATGATTAATTTGTTATATTGAGAGCTTGTACTGTAATCGTTCGAAATTAATGTTTAAAATTGCTCGAAAATAATGTTTTTATTTCATTGTCGCAAATGTACATGCTCAGTACCTTTGCACATACATTGTTCAGGCCTGTTCCCCCAGACTGCAGGGGGGGGGGGTCTTTAAATCCTATATTGGATTTTGTTTATATATTTATATTTTTTATATGCACAGCTGTAGCTGTCAACCCCCGTATATGAAGCGACTTCGCGCGGCAGCTTGAGCCGACATGACAGAATGTACAATCTTTTGACATGGGTTTCAGAACCGGATTTTAGCTTCGCGGAGTTTGGAGCAGCGGTGGATTTTTTTTTATATGCGAGCGCTTAACCCTGAAGGCGTGGGGCCCGGGGACATTTTAAGAGCCCCGGGAAATTTTCGGATTGCAGATGCTCTGCGGCGCAAATATCAAAATTGTAGCCGAGTTGACTCTCTATCGAAATATGCCCTCGTTATTTTGAGTCGTCACTAATAAGAAACAGCTCAATTCGTAACTAACCCATGTGAATAGGCCACAAAATCCGGCCGCTGAGCTCATGAATAAAAGTTATACACTCAAATGTTTCTGTATTAAAGGGTCCTGAGAGCTATGAAATTGGGAAATTGAAGAGATATGGTAATACACCTCCGGTCCGGACTTGGGGCTTCCAATTCAGAGCATTTTGGATGCAATCGGGTCCGAAAGTGGCGCTATTTAGCCATGTTGTGGATGGATTCGTTTTCAAGTCGGTTATACCATTCCATCATCAGTCGTTTTAGGGGTCGCAGTCTTCTTTGGGTGAGAATTTCTCGAAAAGTCATATTTGTCAACCCCCAAAAAAATGAACAGAAAATGAAAGATGAGATGTTGATCATCATTTTTCTGTGCAGCCTGAACACCTGTGAGAGTTCTGAGTATTTTTAAAAGAATTTTGGAGTATGGGCATTTATCACTGTTGTCTGAGGGAATTTATTTGATTGGGCGCACACCTATAGTGGTCTCGCACCAATGCCTACTTTAATTTTCTTTCAATAGAGGGCGCGCCGCATAAATAGTGATCTCGATTGATCTCCACCACCAAACTCGTTTTGGGGGGTACAACTCAAGAAATACAAGATGTATTAAATTGAATGTTCGTCCACTGATTCGTTCATTATGTATAACATCAAGAGACTTTATGTCAAAAGAAAATGTCCAACAATGAAGCTGTTATGACCGTAACAATACAGTGTTTTAAGCGCGACAAATACAATCCGAATGAGAGTCAACCTTTTTTTTCGCTTGTAAAACACTACATTGTTGCGATCATATTATTTGTATTGTTCAACGGTTTCTCATGATATTCGAACTCCTTATGTTACACACCGTGGAAAATGAGTGCGCGAAATTTCAATTTAATACATTTCGTATTTCTTGAGTAGATGATCGAAAACGAGTTTGTTGTTTTTGCTCAACAGTGCGGCATCAGTGTTGATGCTTTGTGGAGACCACTATTTATGTGGCGCGCCCTCTATTGAACGAATTTTAAAGTAGGCACGCGCGCACACAGTACGTTTGTCTTGGTGCCGGTGTCACATGAAAATCCGACTCCTATGAAAATCGGACCCCTTTTCCCTATTATTGGTTAATCCCTCTCACGTGACCGGTCACTTTCCTAATTACCATACTTACGCATGCGCGTTATTACCAATGAGTCCGAATTTCATAGAAACGTAAATTCACGCTACACCGGTGCGAGACCACTAGTTTTATTTAGCGCGCCTTTCTCGAACGAAACTTTCAGTTATTGTTTGACGGTTTCTCACGAAATTGAATCTCCTTATGTAACACATCAAGACCGATCACTGGCCAAACTTACAATATAATACAGCTGGGCCTCGGGTAATTGCCCAAACAACGAGTGTGTTATAAAAAAATTCCATGGGCGTTGGGGGCCATTCAGAATTTTCAATGTTTTAAAATTTCGACTTTTTTTCCAAATTATTTTGACCCACCCACCCACCCCTAATTTCGATTAATAAAAAACTGAACATGTACATGTACATGCACTTGCGTGTACATGTACATATACTTGAAGTTGAACATGACTACCCATGTACATGTACATGTGTGTCTAGTTCAGTGACGGCGTGAAGTTGTCGGTCTTGCTCTTTTGCACTGGTGACCTTCAGTTTTCTTGTGTTTTGCCAGCTGATATGCTGTTGGGAATGACAGGTTGCAGTTTTGGAAGCCACAATTAAAGATGACCGTGAGCGAAAGAAAAACATCAGGTTTGGGCAGACATCACATCACAGGCTGCGGTCCTCGTAGTCTTGGATTCCTGTGGTTGAATAGTCCAGTTTTTATAGCGATTGGTAATCGACGCCCGCGGAGTGTTATAGAGCCGATCTAGTACACCTGGTACCCTGCTGCCTCTGCACGGCCTAACCGCTACAAACGCCCGGCGTCCAAGTCTACTGAAAAACCACCTCCCTCTCATGCCACAGTGGGTCTATAGTCGTGTTCCCTAACGTGGCGCACTTCGAAGCCAACCCGACTTTCCTCGTGTAGTGTTGCCAAACCTCTTTGTTGACAAACCTCAAATTCATGCAGTAAAATACTGGTACTTTTACCTTATCAATGCTTGCCATTTAACCTCTGTAAACAATTTCGGTTTCATAAAATTTAATCCGAAATTAAAAAACGGTGGCGTCCGGAAATTGGGCACAAATTGGTGGAGTGTTCCCTAACGTGGCGCACTTGAATGAATCTCGGAAAATTCCACATTAACATTAAGGAATTTCTGTAAACTTAATAATTCTGATAAATAATTTCTATCTCTACTGACATACCCAGCCAGATGTTTGTCAGAAAATTATTTTCTTATTTTTCGGGGCATTTTCAAAGGGTTCACTTTGCACTTGAAATAAAATCGGAAAATCACGCCAAAATAGTTTTTTTCTTCTAACGTTGTTACGGGTGAATTAACTCGCGATTTATGAACGGGAGTGTTTAGAACTTGATGAAATTTCACTTTCTGTGAAATTTCAGTTAAAACTTTTGCTCTAGGTAGGCGCTACAGGCGAAAAATCAAAGTGCGCCACGTTGGGGGCCGCGCCACGTTAGGGTACATCAACAATAATATACACGTACATGACGTACATGTACAGTACACAGGGGACGAAGTTGGAAAAGAAACACGCATCGCGATATCGGAACGCTTGCGCGTAGTTCAGGCAAGTCAACAGATCTATCTTTCCTTGTTTTTTTAATCTTTTTTCCATGGAAAGTGAATTTCGATTTTCAATTATTTAGCTTGACCCACCCACCCACAATTTGGAAAAAAGATCGAAATTTTAAAACACTGAAAATTCTGAATGGCCCCTTGACTTTCTTTTTTCATTCGGGTTGTATTTTCGCGTTTAAAATATAGGTTTTCTCTGCCAATTTCCTTAAATGTTCATTCACCTCTGAAAATCGGTCTTTCATTTTCGTCTGAATATGAATGCACGTATTTAATCCCATTTCAATTAAACGAAAGTTCAGTCGTTTTCATTATTGTCCGTGCAGTCGGCTTTGAGAAACACGGACGGCCAATTACGTTATCTGTGCATTAATTCATTTACGCAAGTACAGCTAAAATTTGATTGACCGTTAATGAAAAAGAAACCCCTAATTTTATCTGGTGCCGAATGCATTAAACTAAAAGTGAAATAGAATGGTGAATGTTTGAAATCACCCTCTGAAAGCGAGAAAGAAGTCTTGTACGTAAACGAACTGAATCTGAATGAATATAAACGGAAGCTAGGTTCTGCTCAACAACTTACTGATTGAACTGAAATGGAATCCGCGAATGCTCTGGTAGCGAAGAAATGCGTGTTCAGACCGATTCTCAAGTTCAGACGAAAATGAATGACCGATTTTCGGAAGTGAATGAACATATTATGAAATTGGCCGGGAAAACCTATACTATATTTGTTTCCATCATATCATTTGTTATTGTTTGACGGTTCCATCAAATAAAATATCATAATGTTACACATTATGAAATTATTTCAATTTTGAAATACAGAACAAATCCCGATTTTGGGGTAACAACTCAAGAAATAAAGATGTATTAAATTAAAATTTCAAAAAGCCTTGGAGATCTAGAGTGGTGAGTGTTTAAAAAAAAAAAAAATATGTGTAAATATGTGTAATTAGCACTTAGGTCTTTGGGAGTCGATTTACAGGTCTGACCCCCCCCCCCCCAACACACGCGTGTAAATCGAGAATTTGTTATCGTTCTTCATCATCAATCTTTTGTTCATAATTTTTTGCAAAAGCTCCCATTGGTTTTGTACCCGTTTTCTCAGTAATCGAGGACGTCCTCGATTTGACTCCTATCCTCATTACACAAGGATGTTTTACATGAAAACATGTCCAGCCTTGGCTCGATTACACCACAAACCCACACCCACCTAGGCATGTAACTACGCAAGATTTCACTACAATAACGGGTACCAAAAAAACCGGTCTGACTCTGTGGTCCGAACTATCATGATGTATTTATTGGTAATGATTCCTCCAAGAACTGACAGTGCAAAAATAGATGTATCATCATATCCGGGTTGATCGAGTTTGTATTGCATCCGGCATAGTGCGCCCTCAATCTCGTTCGCCAACCAATGTCATGTATTTTTTTTTTTTCGATGACCGTAAAAAAGTTTTCACTGGTGTACAATCCAATCATTGTCGGGACCCTAGACCTCAGTTAGTTTGATAACATTGACTAAATGCTAGAGTACCCGACTTGATGTGGTATTCAAAGTGTTTGACCATTAATCAACTGTCGGCCGAGAACCAGGGAAAAACAAGGAAGTTGTCAACGTCGGTACGTACGGTAGACGACGCGACAGGTACATTTTACGCGAAACAGGTGCATTTTACTGGTGATTTTGTTAAGTTATCGTTTCCCCCCAAAAATGGTGATGATGTTGAATGTTCGCGAAAGAACACCCAAGTAGCTGTCAATGGTGGATTCGTGACAAATAGTTGAACGCAAAAGAAGCATTCGGTTTTGCGTAAAACTGTACACGTTCACACTGTCGTTGACATAATCTTCATTCAACCACCGACCCATCCACCACCCCACTGACCACCCAGACACGCGTGGCGTGTACTGTGCACACCCCCATATGTAGATACCGGTAGATTCAAAACATTGCCGTGTTTACATTCCAGTTTCGGCAAACTTGGTGGTAGATTAAAGTACAACTATGTCCAAGAAACAAGCAACTTATGACGATGCCCTGTACTGGACAGTCGATGATGTCGGGGAATGGCTGCAACAGGTGATTTTCTTTCAATATTCAATCAATCTTTTGGTAATCCTTACTTTTACTAGTTTAGGACCCCGTTCCTATAAGGTTAAAAGACTCACCAAAACAGCTGACTAAATGACACTCAAAAGTGACATTTTGATGTTTCTTGACACATTTGAACAGTTGGCAATGACACCTTGTTTAATATCAGCAGGTTTAATTTTGGGCAATTCCACGGTAACGGAAGGACGTTTTCACTCATTAAACAAAATTTCAAATGTGTGTATCACAGACACTGTTAATAGTTACAGCAAACAAATGTCACAATTGTATTGCTATAATGCTACTTTCATTTTCCACACTTTTGAGGGGGAAGAATGCCTCCCGTTTTTGAATTATGAATATTAATGAGGTCGGTAACGGAAGGACGGTAAAACGGACAAGGGTTTTTCAACTTACTCGCGTTTTGCGTAAACTCTGTGAATTTTATGGGGCAATTATATTTTAAAGGTAAGAAATGGAATCCCTGAAGCTTTATCTATACTATACCGCCTTTCATTTGACTTGAAGTGTTTCGGTAATATAATTACAACGTTTTAAGCAGATTATGATTTGGTAACGGAAGGACGGTAACGGAAGGACAAAAGGTTTACTCAATTACAGCATGAACAAAATGTGAATTTACACTAATTATACAAGTGAAACAAATTGCTGAAATGTGTAACTGAATGTGAAATCAACAATATGCAGACCTGGCATAAATAATTATACCCAAGAAACTATTGAGATAAAGATAGAAGCCTGCTAATTAATGATAACAAAAGAAAAACGAACACAACCCAAAACACATAATTCACGAACACAAGACAACTACAGAAATAGACTTCAAACCCATCACCTCAATCCTTAAAAGTTTAAATACACAGTATTTGAACTCTTGAGTATATTGGTTACATGTTCACCAACAACTTTTAATAATAATACCGGTAGGTTCAGTGGTTTACCTAAAGGGTGGGGGGGGGGGGGCGACCAGCCTACATGTACATTTAAGGTAAAAACATCTACCGGTAGTACTGATGGCTTCAGTTAGGTGTTGCTTTTAATTGAACTCTAAAATCAATGTTTGAAATCAAATTACAATGATTTAGAGTAGTAACAATTAATTTATAAACATCCAAACTGAAATTGTTAACTTGGGCATAATTTTCAAAGATTGCACCTCACATGTCTTACACATGTAAATTGAATGAAAGTGCCCCAAAGTACCGGTACTTTCTGCCATCTCATTTTTGACTTAATTTGCTTCTGGAATGGCTTCACAGAATTCGTATCTTTCTCTATTGTCCATGAATGCTGATGGCAGCAACTTTATGATTTGATTTTCTGCAACAACTCCATACATGTACAAGTACTGGTACATCAGCATATATGTACATGTACATTGTACATGTTGTACATGCCTGTGCCTTTCTTTGTAACAAACACCTTGCCCTGCTTATCCCGCTTTTGTGAAGGTGGGTCACATGAATGTCCTTTCAATGCTCATTATACATGCATGTATTTGCAGTGATTTTCATTTTTCAAACATGAGCGCAAATGTCGTAACATTTGATAAAAATACGATTTGTCCTTCCGTTACCGTCCTTCCGTTACCAATTTGGTAACGGAAGGACGTGATTTAATTAATTGTAATTAAAAAACGAGAAGAAAAGCAGTGTCAGTTATAATGTCATATTGAAGGCCTACCTAAACTTGCTTTGCACAATAACTTTCAATGCATTCATACTGCAAGTTTTAAAAATAAATTAAAAATATGTATATTTTCGGTAACGGAAGGACATTTTCGAAGGCTGAAATATTAGAAGTCACTGAAGCGAAGCAAATTACGCAAAATGTTAAAAACAAGTTTTAGTCGGTTTTTCAAGACCAATACTTTCTCATGACAGAAACGGATGGCATTAGTACATATTTTTGTGTGTGTTTTGGTAGAATACTTTCATATCACTATTAATCACATTTTTAGGATTAAAACAGGATTATTACATAATCCTATTTTTTGGTACTGAAATGTATAAAAAATAAAATTCCGACTTCAAATATTGAAAATATAGACTTTTAGCTTTCATTTGATGCCAAATTTGTTTAAGTCACATGTATTTGAATTTTTTGGTGTCATGTCCACTTTGGTGTGGAATTGCCCTTTTGTAAAAAGAGGGCAGGGCTTTGATTTATGAGGGGTTAAAGACGACGATGACAAACAGAAAATATATTTAAAAAGCAAGATGGCAAACTGCCAAAAAGGCAGAAAAGTCACATTTTCTTTGAAAGTGCTTTCAAAATGACAACTAACATGAGTTTATCTGAGGAAAAAAAGACTGCTTTAGCCTGCAAGAGTCACTTTGGTACTGGACAGTCACCTGCAAAAGTCAGTTTTGAACAGAACTCGTAAAAATAGAGGTGTCCTAAAGATAAGGATTACCAATCTTTTGAAGCTTCATCTTCGTGTCCCTTCTAATTTGAGGAATATGTTAAGGAAAGAATGTTGCAACCTGACGCCACTTCAGCGGTTGTGGACAAAGTCTAAGGAGAGTCAAGAACAATTTTTCTTAACAAAATTGGAAATGTTTCTCAGTCCCAGATTCATACCTTATCATCATATTTGCAATGACTGACCTTCAATGAGATGTAGTGGCGTCAGTTTGCAACATTCTTTCCTAGGAAAAATGTTACAACCTTGTGTACAAAGTCTATGGAGAGTCAAGAAAATGTTAAGTATTTCTTAACAAAATTGGAAATGTTTCTCAGTCCCAGATACATGTCTTATCATCGTTATTGCAATGACTGACCTTCATTGAGATGACAAGTACATGTACGGTTTGAAGAAAACAGTGGCATCAGGTTGCAACATTATTTCTCTTTTCTAAGTTAACCAGGGAGTCGGGACACTCCTTTTTTTGTATACAACCCTGGAAAATTTGGTATCATTGAAAAAAGAATCACACATAAAAATAAATACAGTTTAAATCATATTTGTATGAGCTTGGGTTTTGGAGATTTAACAATTTAATGGCAAACTCAACTGTCCAAATATGTTTATTTTTATTACTCAAAATTTTCCAAAACTATCAAAATAGTTCATATTATTTTATTTAAATAAACAATAAGTTGATTTTTTTTTTTTTTTAGATTTTTAAAAAGTAAACTTTTTTTTCCGGATCCTGCATGATGTCCGAGCAATGTCCATGCCCACAATGTGATGCAACCAAACAGATGTGCCTTTTCCCACACACCTGTGATTTTCAAATCAGGACTATTGCAATGTCGATCCCATAGCGTTAGGACCGTCCAAAAAATTGATACACAAATACACAAATACATCTAGAAGTATCCTGACCCTAACATTTTTATCGATAAGATAACAAAAATACTTAAAAACGTTGGGGGCCTACATCAAAGGCTACATGTATGTCGTCCTCGAAAGAATTCCGTATACGTACATGTATGCCACTTGAGTCTTGAGACCCTGTGTACAAACCCTATGAGACTGGTATGAAAAATTCTGTTTTCCAACTATTTTTGTAAATGCTTTAAAGGGAATGTACATCATTGGCTTTTGCTTTAATTTTCAGAAATGACCTATTTGAGGGGTTAGTATAATAGATCAAATTATTGTTGCACTGAAAATTAAATGGATCAATTTATAGATGCCGGAAAATTGTACGGTAAGGGAACCAGTCTAGCTGGCCTGCCCCCATTCATGAACATGCAACCAATAGGAAACAAAATTTGGACTGAAGAAAAAATGATAAATTTTGAGCAGTAGTTGAAAAATAGTTAAGTTTTTCCAACGGTGGTCGGCCGACCACCGTTGGAAATGTATACAAAAATACCATTTACTTGAAAATGACTTCACACCAGGTGCCATAATTTTACAGGATGCTTTAGACTGTCATTCACCAACATCCTGTAAGGTATTTCGTAAAAACTAGGTAGTTTTATTTTTCGATGCTTGCAAATGTTGTAATTTCCCTTTAAATAATATTTTCCCTGCTAAATTTCACTTTTTAGGACATGTTATCCCTCTCTGATGATTGATGAGTCATTGTAAGGAAAAACTAGTGGCGTACGTACATGTATATGGAATTCTTTCCAATGCCCTTTTTGCCTCAACAAAAATGCTTCTCAATAACCTCAAAAAGGCATTTCTGCTGACCGTATATGGCTGTTCATTTGTTTACAATTGTCATATTCGGAAGGAAACCGTTGTTTTTTCAGACGTGATCAGCAAGTACTTGTACCCATTTTGATGATAATAGCACATGTTCATGTATGTTTTGCATGCAGTAGTAAATGGTAGACTGGTTAGACGATTACAGCCAGAGTACTGATGGGGAGGATAGGGAGACAGTGTATGAGTCTGACCTGCATAGTGTTAAACTGTCGAATTTGACATCGTAAAAAGGGCAAGCAAACATTGATGGAGAAGATTTCTGCAAGTAAATTCACGGAACTTGATCTCTCTTTTCTGTGTATTTTCTGTTAAATTTTGTTAATTTATTTCGAGGTCTTACCCCTCGTATTTGTAGAGATAGTGAGATATGTATCTTTTTTTTTCTTCGAATTTTCTGCCTGCGGTGCATGCACCTTGTTGATACGTCCACAGATGCCTCGTGTTATGAACCGTGTTGGCCAGTTTCCCTTCATGACTAACGTTGTGCATAGTGATGTCCACGACTTAAATTCTCCATTATTTTAAAGTAACGTTGACCTTAACTATTTTTCCCTTTAACCCTAATGCTGAAAGGTTCATTTGATGAAATGCAGAATCTTGTTGAATTGAGCATTGTTAGTGTTGGCAAGATTTTATCATACAATGTATACGGGGGCCAAATTTGAAAGCTTTCGTGGAGCAAATGAAAATAATTCAGGCCATATGTACAATACAACACAAACGATAAATTAATTTTTTTCTTAAAGTGATCAATAGAAACATTCACATAAGCACAGTCAAAACAGGACCAATTTATTTA